TCAGCTTGGGCAGGAGACGTCGTGGCTAAACGGGATGATGACGACAATGACCGATGGATGAGACTGGTGACAGAGTGGCAGCAAAAGGAAGGAGCGCGCCTGAGCAGACGACCACTGCAGATATTCCATCGCCACTCCTCACACACTCGTGATCAACAAAGACAGACGATCCCCCGTATTTGGCAATTGAGAAAATGACACCTCAAATTATCCTCAATGGGACTACACATAGCAATCGTCACTCGCGAGACTCGCGTTTTTTAATGGGCTGTTGGGGCGAGTGCTCCATCACACGCCTGCACGCTAGTCAATTTCATCGCTCCACCTCCACGATGGGAGTCCTCTTCTGCTCCTTTAGCTGCCATTCCATCACCAGTCTTGTCCATCGGCTAGCGTCCCTTGTAGCGATAATGTGTCCTGCTCAACCAAGACAACACGAGGTCTCCACCCTGCATTGTCCCCCAAGCGACGTGTTCCTCTTCCTACTTCCGTATGTTACCAAGCATGCTCCCCCCCCTCTCCACGCTTCTTTGCACATTTTTGTTCAACTTTTACTCCTTGTTAATTGTCAGGGTCCATGTTTCCGATCCAGCTCGTAGCAGTCCATATGACATCCGATGTCATATGCGTGTATATATATGTACGTTCACACGCACATATACAAACACGTATAGAAGATGCACAGGTGTTAATGTGTACAGTATTATGTAAGGGTGCATGCACTTGCACACAAACTTATATTGTACCTTTGTGTTAATGTATGTGCTCACACATACACGTGACACATGTATGTCTACACACACTTATTTTGTATGTGTGAATACACAACATGCTATATACGGGGATTAACTTCGCACTAACTGGCCCAGATGGCTCAGTAGCAAAGCGAGTGGTCCTGCAGTCGAAATGTTCCGAGTTCACATCCTGGTTAGGGGTTGAATCAGCCCATCATCCTACTCTCTCCGGTGGTCAATAAAATGAGAAATTTACAGGGAAATCAATAGCGGTTGTCCTATGGATGGACTCCCCCTGCCGAAGGAATGAGACATCTCCACCTCTGGCTCTGCAGGGCTGTAAAATGGAAGAGGACTAACGCCTCTCTGCTGATTTGAGCATAAAATCTCTTTTAAGACTTTTAATATCTCGCCGATTATTATCCGGGTAAGGCTGGTAAACTGGGGCGTTAAACTGGGTATGGGAGCAAAGCACGTTAATTACAGAAATATATCTATGCATAATAACGACCCCAACGCAACCTGCGAGATCAACAGATATAATAAATAACGCTTCCTTCGTTCACAATACTCCTCAAGACGAGAGGAGGTGGCCCAGTGGCTCAAAGATGTCAGAAAGGCTGAACCGGCACCGCTGGGAAACTTGGGTTCGACTCTAAGGTGCAGCCGTCTGTGATAAAACTGGTTTCTCCATTGTAGCGGATCGATGGATTAAAAACAAAATAATCCCAATACGTTGAATTTGGATCTAAAACTTAAATTTGGCTAAACGCAAGCTGCTGCAAAGCCAAAACATTGCTTCGACTGTTGACATGCAGGGCAGGTGGGAAATTGCAGCCAGTTGAAGGGACCTTCAGAGGAGGCCTTGTGATATCCGCTTCCTCGGGCCGCTCTCGAATACGAAGGGATGTGCTGGTCTGCAAGATTTACGAACGGAGTCTCGATAGCAACAATCAGGATAATATTTGGGGGAAATACCCATTGCTTTCACTGTTATTTTCCAAGAAAGACAAAGGTGACAGACACCTTCACCTGTGTGCTCAGAAAGTGTCGTGGGATGTTGGTGGACCACTTAGAGATGGGAGTCTGTGTGAGCCACTCCACCAGCAAGACAGAAATGGTGCCTGTTGTTGGAGACAGTACAGCAAGTATGATCACGACAGGCTGCTGTAGTTTGCGAGGGTTTTTTATTTTGAGGCACACTCAGGTTTCCTCATTACAACGTAGGCCTTGGCAATGCCGTGTCAGTCGTGGGGGGTTGCTTGACCGTACTTCACCAAATTACAACAGAATTATCCAAATAATACAAATATGCCTCATTACGTCAAGACAAGAGCAATGTATAGTATTGTACCGGGTGTCCGCAATTGCCTGTTGCCCCCTGACTTGTCAAAGCTCGTGTTTAGTTTACCTACGGCTGGTTATGTTTGTAAATCCACTTGTGCACGTGGTGTGCATATCATAACCTTAATAACTGATGTTATTAAATTAACAAAAAAACCTATAACATTCAACAACAATACCGTGGCCTTAAAAGGAACATAAATAAGCTATGTCTGTTAATAATGTACGGCCCTTGATCGATCCACTGCTGGATGAATACCTCCCCACTGGGGGTCGGTTGTACGAGTTGTGTGACCGTAGTTCACCACGCTGGTCAACACAGGTTGGTAAAGTCACTCGCCATTGTTAGCCTTGGCCGGGAATCAAGCCCGTTCTGCTGGGTTCATAGCGTGGCGTGCTAACCACTGCGCCACCCCATTTTAATACTGTACCGTATTCGATCACTTTACGCCACTTGTCATTTATTCTCAAACGTTTCGCCTATAAATAATGGGGGGGGGGGGGGGGGGACAGGAAATTGTGGACATTGTACAATGTTACCCACTTAACTGAAAATGGTGTGTTCACGCGTGTTACGAATTGTGTGTCAACTTGTGTTGTAAAACACACAACGAGCAGTATGTATAAGAATGGGACGGGTGTTGCCGTTTGCCACATCACGGATAACTTGGTAGAATTCAACGTGAAGCAGCAGTCTGGGTAATTGATGATCCAACACTCACCGATAAAGAGCGATGAGGGGGCAGTCATTCGCCTCCGTATCACTCTTATAGCGCTGCCACCATGATTAGTGTCTCCCGTGAACTTCACTCGTTAATTCCACCACCCATGTTGGGGACTCGGTTCTACCAGACACCGTTTCGTCTCATTCCACAATACAGGTCACAACCCACCTACTCACTAAATCCACCACCCACCTACTCACTAATTCACCCACTCACTAATTCACCCACCCACCAATTCACCCACCCACCAATTCACCCACTAATTCACCCACCCACCAATTCACCCACTCACTAATTCACCCACCCACCAATTCACCCACCCACCAATTCACCTACTCACCAATTCACCCACCCACCTACTCACTAAATCCACCATCCACCTACTAACTAATTTACCCACCCATCTACTCACTAATTCACCCACCCACCAATTCACCCACCCACTCACCAGACTGCAGGTCACCTCAATTCTCTTTCTGCTTCTTCCCTCGCACTCATATTGGTCTCTGTTTCCAAAAGTTCTTCCAACTTCTCTCCATTTAAGAAAGTAACGTATTAATAACAACTCGTATCTATTACACTTTTAACAGTGCTGCTTGTCGCTGGCCACTTGGCGTTTTGGGCCTATGCTCAGCTACCGTGATTAGGAAACCAATACCAGGGTCTCTACATCATAATGTATCACCTTCCTCTTGGGAACGTGGCCAGTATTTATTGAAATGTCGAGGACTGAAAACAAATGTTAAATGTTACGTGTTTTTATACGTATTACAGATTATATATACAAACCACATATGTATAATTTTATACTGACAGCTATAATTGAGGTTCCGTTGTTTAGATTATATTGCGCAGAGGAAACAACGTGATTTTATGCATTGAATTGTAACGGTATTTATCCAATACTTGTAACTTTACTTATTATTGTTAATGTTCCTGTTTGTTGTTGTTGTTGATGTGTGTCGCGTTGGGGCTCACGCAGGTGATAATAGTCAATCTTGTTAAGCTAAGAGTCTGTAAACAACCATGATACACCATCACATAAACTTATACTGGTGTTCAAATTGTGTTTGCAATCCTTTACCCCCACCCCGTCTCCCCTTGTTTACCCACGAAAGCCTCACCGATTGTCAGGAAGTTATTTTCGGAGATGATCCTGCCAGGTTTTCGCAGTATGGGGGTGAATAATGCTGCTATTTAAAGTCTAAATTTAGTAATTTTGGGGTTTTTTGCCGTTTAATTCGTTCAAATTTGGACCATGATGACAGCACACAACGGCCTACGACGGTTGCGAATGACGTTACGAGATCTGCAACGTCCACACAGCACAGGATTTTAGCGGTTAATATACCCGCAGTATTAATCGGGGCGGCCGCTGGATTAGAACCGTAAACCTATACAACAAGCAGCTAACGAGCTGGGCCGTGACACCAATTCACAGTTCAACTTCGCATCACGAACACCAACCACGTGGTAAAATCTCCTAATAACGTATACATTTTAACTGTTAAAATCCCAACGCCACTTCATCACTATATCGCATTTGTTAGGCCTCCTCAATTCCGTGTCGGTCATGGGTTTGTTTGACCATACTTCACCGGCTTCATAATTTTCAGAGCGCAGTGCCCTAACCAATGATCAATTTTTTGCCACGATTTATCTTACCGTGATCATTCATGGTCAGTCCACTGCTGGATGAAGGGCTCTCCATACTGCGTCACTATATTCTGCGTGTATTTAAAATTATTACAAACGTGGTTCGGACTTTACCATTCGTCTCATTCGTTTGATCACAAGCTTAATTAGTGCACAAATATATTTTAAAGGCTTAGCGTAAATAAAATGAGGTTCAAATATAAACGAAATCTCACGTAAAAAAAACGAAAACAACAAATATAACAATTACCAAATCCGCGTGCTTGGAGCAGCAGCAGCAGCAGCAACACGTGGGGCCTCGAATTTCCCGCGCTTTTCCACATCCGTCAACCCCCACTGAAACTTCCTGATGCACGCCGATTGGATGGCACCCGCCTATCACGCGCCTCGTGAGCGTCTCCCATTGGTCAGCGCCGCCCGATCACGCGCTGCTCGCGTTCCGATTGGAGCTCCCCCCCCCTCCCAACACGCGCTTAGCCCCACCCCCAGGACCCGCGCTCGCGCTCCATTTAATGTTCAATGTTCCCGCTTGCAATAGACTCGAAGACGATTAACAGGTAAATTAAGTATAATCTCACGGTAAGTTTACTTTTTCTGAGGGAAAAGAACACTCTAGAGGGATAATGTACATCTTTAAATTCTTGTTATGATAAATATGTAAATTGTTATTACCCACATTGCTCGTGCGACGCGATACGGGAAGTAATTCCCGCCTGTTACTTCAGGTGGCTCCTCACGTCAGAATTCAGCGATTCTCAACAACAACAACACAAAATGCCGTGTTCGCCGTGCGTGAGAATCGTGAGGGGTTTTTTTTATTATTTCCTCTTTAGTTGTTTACCTCACGAAAGAAACGAATCCCTCAAGAGTTGTTACGGTCACGCCGTGGTCCCCCTGGTGGCCACTCACCGCATTGCTGTTGTCGAGCGGGACTAATTAACCAGCAGTGGATTATATCCCAACAATCGATTATTTTTATATTTGTTGACAATATTGTTGGGTAAACGTAAGCGGACTCTAGTGGCCGTGAATTTGTTACAAATCTAAAGAAAATCAACGCCCGTTAAGAACAACGTTTGTGGTCTTAAACCGATAAACATTAAATCGGTAATAGGCGATGTTTCGGGCAATGACCCCCTAAAAAAATCAGAAAACAGCAATTCCCATACACTTTCATGCGTGTATCGGTGAGCTTAATCGATGCTAATTGATTAAATCTCTACGGTAACACCGCTGGTGTATTGATCACAGTAACACGACGGCCCCGTGGACGTTAAAGACCCCGTGACATCGTTGGCAAGAGTTGTGCCACTTTGTGACGGTCTCACGGTCCAAATGTCTTGTGACCCCCCACATTAATTAACGGGCCCCCAATATGTTTCTTCCTTTGTATATTCATTTACATTTTAAATAAACTTTAAAATAATTAAAGTTGTACAGAATTAAATTGGGGGTGTCACAAGACATCTGGACCACACTATATATCGCAATCATCTCCAAAATAGTAATAATAATAGCAATAAAGTTGCCTTAACGAGGTTCGAATCCGGGCCACGGTCAACATCAGTGGCGAGTGACATCTGAACCGGACCTCCTCTCGGTCGACTCAGCTGTAAATGAAGTACTGTACTATTGGTGGTGCGGTGTGTAATATCGCCACCGGGACATTGAGGTATCGACATTTATCGATTCATACTCTTAGGTTTTTTCGGTAAAGTCACGTCGGTAATTTTTTATAGTAATAAAGTAAAATAATAATGAATGAAAATAACTAAATTAAATCACGACGTTTCGGAAGCAACACAAGCCTCCGTCATCAGGTGTAACTGCTCCAGTAATTTTAGTAATTTTACTAAAATTAATTTAGTTATTTTCATTTATTTTATTTTATTATTATTTTTTTACCTACGTGACTTTACCGAAAAAACCTAAGAGTTTGAATCATTGCAGTCACGAAAGCTTCAAATCTAGAATTTATCGATTCCTAAAGCTCATTTATCTTGAGTGCAATAACCGATATTTTTCGATTTATCGAAATTACTTGTTAAAAGATTTGCTCATTTTACATTCAGGCTCAATTGTGGCGGATACTGATACAACAAGCGAGCCTTTAAAGAGTTTAAAAATGTCCCTTCTTGAACAAGAGCACGAGTATTGGAACGGCGGGCGATCGATAAAATTATATCTTTCAATACTGGGGAAACAAAGGCGGTCGGGCGTGGTGCTGGCCACACCACCCCTTCATGTACTGTGTCCTATTTAATAGGCCCTCACTAACAGCGACACAGATAAATTGGGTCTGGGAAATAACCACCCTAAATATATACACACGCGCATACGTAGATACTGCTATACAGTATACACATAATGTTTATCTATATATACATTATTGGAATATCTACGCTATGGGCAGCAGAGGGCAGTGCGGCATCACAATTCAAAGTTGCACTGCACCTCTATGCTCCCACGTCCACACCAGTGGGGGCGGGGGGAGGCGTAGGAGCGGGTCAGTGTCTCCCTGCCTTAATGAGCAACGGGGGCTGTGCTTTTCTGCAATTGTCGTAAATTCCATATTCCTCTGGCCGTGAACGGTTCCAGGTCTTCCCCCTACTGCCACCAGGCGGCTCCTAGAGGTGAATGGTCCTGGCAGGCGACGGTGTGGAGACCGCAGACCTCGGGATCAGAGTTGAACTCTAGGCACGTAGGCGAGAGTTGAACTCTAGGCACGGGGTCAGAGTTGAACTCGAGGCACGGGCAAGAGTTGAACTCTAGGCACGGGGTCAGAGTTGAACTCGAGGCACGGGGTCAGAGATGAACTCTAGGCACGGAGCAAGAGTTGAACTCTAGGCACGGAGCAACAGTTGAACTCTAGGCACGTAGGCGAGAGTTGAACTCTAGGCACGGGTTCAGAGTTGAACTCTAGGCACGGGTTCAGAGTTGAACTCTAGGCACGGAGCAAGAGTTGAACTCTAGGCACGTAGGCAAGAGTTGAACTCTAGGCACGTAGGCGAGAGTTGAACTCTAGGCACGGGTTCAGAGTTGAACTCTAGGCACGGAGCAACAGTTGAACTCTAGGCACGTAGGCGAGAGTTGAACTCTAGGCACGGGTTCAGAGTTGAACTCTAGGCACGGGTTCAGAGTTGAACTCTAGGCACGGAGCAAGAGTTGAACTCTAGGCACGTAGGCGAGAGTTGAACTCTAGGCACGGGTTCAGAGTTGAACTCTAGGCACGGGTTCAGAGTTGAACTCTAGGCACGGAGCAACAGTTGAACTCTAGGCACATAGGCGAGAGTTGAACTCTAGGCACGGGTTCAGAGTTGAACTCTAGGCACGGGTTCAGAGTTGAACTCTAGGCACGGAGCAAGAGTTGAACTCTAGGCACGGTGCAAGAGTTGAACTCTAGGCACGGGTTCAGAGTTGAACTCTAGGCACGGGGTCAGAGTTGAACTCTAGGCACGGGTTCAGAGTTGAACTCTAGGCACGGGTTCAGAGTTTAACTCTAGGCACAGGTTCAGAGTTGAACTCTAGGCACGGAGCAAGAGTTGAACTCTAGGCACGGAGCAAGAGTTGAACTCTAGGCACGGGCAAGAGTTGAACTCTAGACACGGGGTCAGAGTTGAACTCTAGGCACGGGTTCAGAGTTGAACTCTAGGCACGGGTTCAGAGTTTAACTCTAGGCACAGGTTCAGAGTTGAACTCTAGGCACATGGCAAGGGTTGAACTCTAGGCACGGGTTCAGAGTTGAACTCTAGGCACGGAGCAAGAGTTGAACTCTAGGCACGGGGCAAGAGTTGAACTCTAGACACGGGTTCAGAGTTGAACTCTAGGCACGGGGCAAGGGTTGAACTCTAGGCACGGGTTCAGAGTTGAACTCTAGGCACGGGGCAAGAGTTGAACTCTAGACACGGGTTCAGAGTTGAACTCTAGGCACGGGGCAAGAGTTGAACTCTAGACACGGGTTCAGAGTTGAACTCTGGCACGGAGCAAGAGTTGAACTCTAGGCACGGGACGAGAGTTGAACTCTAGGCACGGGTTCAGAGTTGAACTCTAGGCACGGGGCAAGAGTTGAACTCTAGACACGGGTTCAGAGTTGAACTCTGGCACGGAGCAAGAGTTGAACTCTAGGCACGGGACGAGAGTTGAACTCTAGGCACGGGTTCAGAGTTGAACTCTGGCACGGAGCAAGAGTTGAACTCTAGGCACGGAGCAAGAGTTGAACTCTAGACACGGGTTCAGAGTTGAACTCTAGGCACGGGTTCAGAGTTGAACTCTAGGCACGGGGCAAGAGTTGAACTCTAGACACGGGTTCAGAGTTGAACTCTAGGCACGGGGCAAGAGTTGAACTCTAGACACGGGTTCAGAGTTGAACTCTGGCACGGAGCAAGAGTTGAACTCTAGGCACGGGACGAGAGTTGAACTCTAGGCACGGGCTCAGAGTTGAACTCTAGGCACGGGGCAAGAGTTGAACTCTAGACACGGGTTCAGAGTTGAACTCTGGCACGGAGCAAGAGTTGAACTCTAGGCACGGGACGAGAGTTGAACTCTAGGCACGGGCTCAGAGTTGAACTCTAGGCACGGGGCAAGAGTTGAACTCTAGACACGGGTTCAGAGTTGAACTCTGGCACGGAGCAAGAGTTGAACTCTAGGCACGGGACGAGAGTTGAACTCTAGGCACGGGTTCAGAGTTGAACTCTAGGCACGGGGCAAGAGTTGAACTCTAGACACGGGTTCAGAGTTGAACTCTGGCACGGAGCAAGAGTTGAACTCTAGGCACGGGACGAGAGTTGAACTCTAGGCACGGGTTCAGAGTTGAACTCTGGCACGGAGCAAGAGTTGAACTCTAGGCACGGAGCAAGAGTTGAACTCTAGACACGGGTTCAGAGTTGAACTCTAGGCACGGGGCAAGGGTTGAACTCTAGGCACGGGTTCAGAGTTGAACTCTAGGCACGGGGCAAGAGTTGAACTCTAGACACGGGTTCAGAGTTGAACTCTAGGCACGGGGCAAGAGTTGAACTCTAGACACGGGTTCAGAGTTGAACTCTGGCACGGAGCAAGAGTTGAACTCTAGGCACGGGACGAGAGTTGAACTCTAGGCACGGGCTCAGAGTTGAACTCTAGGCACGGGGCAAGAGTTGAACTCTAGACACGGGTTCAGAGTTGAACTCTGGCACGGAGCAAGAGTTGAACTCTAGGCACGGGACGAGAGTTGAACTCTAACCACGGGGCAACACCAGCCCTTCTCCAATCACTCCTCAATCCCTCCCGCCTTCCCCTAATACAGTACTCCCACTCAACCCATTACCCACAACCCCTGTCCACACCTTGCCCCAATCTTACCTTCCTCCTCCAAACTCCCCTCTGTTTATCTCCATTCCCTCATCCACCATCCATCTCTCCCCCTCTACACCCCCTTCCCCTCCTCCTCTCACTCCCTTCATCTCGCATCCATCCACCTCGCCTTGTTGTGGAATCCCCCCACCACCCCCATTGCCCTCTCTCCCTCCCCTTCCCCATTCGCCCTCTTCCGGCTCTCCCCCATCCTCCCTCTCCTCCCTCCACCTCGCTTACCTCCCCACTCCCTCTCCAACATCCCTCCTCTCCTCCCTCCCCGTGTAGGATCCCCCATCATTGGGGAGACCCCGTCTGCTCCGCCAGAGCAAGTCATCTGTAGCCGCAACACGGGGTGGTGGTGGTGGGTGAGACTCCGCACGGCTCTCCCGCCTTGCCCGTCTCACGCATATCGAGGTCGCCCGGGGGTTGTGGGGTGGCAGGTGTGGAGAGTGGCAGCTGAGATAGAGACGTGCCGAGAGGGGTGTGGGTTGGAGAGAGAAAGAGAGAGCGAGAGACGTGGTGGATACGCGGAGAGGGAGAGGCGCGGGAGGGACGTGAAAGGGGAGAGGCGCGCCGAGGAGAGAGATACGTGCACAGAGGGGGAGGAGAGAGATACGTGCACAGAGGGGAGGAGAGAGAGATACGTGGGACGAGACGTAGAGATCGTGAGATCAAAGAGAAAGGCGTGGGGAGTGTGAGGGGGATGGAGGGATACGTTGTGTGTCGATGAAGGAAGAAGAGGAGGAGATGTGAAGGCGGATCGGGTCTGGTTGCGTGGCTGAGCGACGCCTCACACGTCCGGGAGAGGCGAAGAGAGGCGAGGCGACGCGGAGCAGCGAGCGGAGATGCCTGGGTGAGTGGTGGAGTGAGTGGTGGAATGTGTGGAGTGGGTCATGATTGAGTGAGTGATTGAGTGATGCAGAGAGTGGTGGAGTGGGTGATGATAGAGGAAGTGGTTCATTTAATAACGGTGTATATGAATGAGTGAATGATGGGATAAATGCTCAAGTGAATGTACATCTATGCATGATCCAGTTAATAAATAAGAGCGTACGATTGCATTTGAATGAATGAACAACGGGGAGATTGAGACTGAATGTACATTGGAGGAAATGGTACTTAAGGCAGTGAGTGAACGAGTAATTAAATGCAATTGAAAGGATTACCGAAATCAACATTGAATGAATGAAATGTAAATTGAACGGTAGAGTTAATGAGAGAATGAGTGAATAGCAGGATCGTGAGTGAATGAGATTGAGTGAGCGAACGAGGTTCCAAAGGGCGTGTTGGGGTCTATGAGTCGGAGTCGATGACAGATTGATATATAGCGAATCATGAGAGAATGGGTTACAACATAATGGCATAACCGACAGAGCGAAAGCGTGCGTGGTTAAGTAATGGTTACAGTAAGTTAAATGGTGAACGCATGAGCGAGTGAATCAGTGAAAAACAACCATCCTCACGCACGCACACTCAACAGAAGAGGCGGGAAACAAGATAACAGTACTAATGTTATGAGTATCCATTGGACCCATATTAATGCTGTGCATGATAATATCACTGTGGTTATAATTGTATTTATTTATATGCGATGTTTATCATGATGCACGCGCATGCGCAGTGCGTATTCGCACCACCCCGGCTGGCTTAATTGAAATCGCGCGCACGTGTTTATGATTAATTGGCGCGAGAGGTGGAGCGGAATATGAGATGCGGTTCAGTCATAAACATCCACACATCAACATCATCCATCTCCCATCACGCGCCATCAATCAACCACCTTCCATCACGTATCTCATCCATCACCGATCACCCCATCAACGTTACTCATCAAGCATCAAGCATCAACCATCATCCGTCTCCCATTACCATCACCCAAATTAACATCATCAACCATCACGACGAACACCCATCAACATCGCCATTCATATCAACCATCACCAATCACACATAAACCGTCATCCATGAACATCATCATTCATCGCCTCCATCATCCCCTATCACATTCCAACAGTACCCATTACCATCGTCAGCCCTATCACCGTACATCATCACCATCCAACACCACCCATCATGTGCATCACCACACATGCACAGACATCTTTGCAGCATTGTCATCTCCTGGCCACTTGGAAATCCAAGCCTATAACACCTGGTATTCAAAGGTAGCCTATCCAATTACTAACCAGACTCTATGTTGCTGTGTCTGCCTGTGTATGTGTGGAGGAGCGGTAGTGCACTGGTTAGCGCATCGCGCTACAAACCCGGTCACCTGAGTTCGATTTCCGCTCGGTCCACTCAGCATTAAATTAGTGCCTGGTGCAATATGTAAGCATCGCCACTGGGGAGACAAAGGCGGTCGTGCGTCGGAGTCGGCCGCCTACCCACTCGTGTGCCGTGCCGGCATTCATAAGTGCTCGCTAACAGCACTTGCCTCAACAGCCTGTTAAGGCTACACGGGGGAACTTTGTCTTTGTACCATATTATGCCATAAACTCCTCCCTATTTAATGGTCCCTAATTGAACCTTGGAGTTTGAATCCAAGTTTAAGAACTCGTGACACGTCCCTAAACGCGTACACATAAAAATATAATACACATACAGAACATGCACGTGTTATGATGAAGCGGTGGTTTTCGCACTGACTGCGCTATGAACCCAGATAGTTCGAGGCACCAAAAAAACCCACTAAGATTCCCTTTTGGTGCCATAAACAGACTGTTTGGGGAAGTGCTGTTAGTGAACACATGAAGCCCGGCACGACACACGAGAGGGTGGGTGGCCAATACCACACTCGGCCGCCTTTATCTCCCCAATTGGGTGATGTTTACACACCACACCAGGTAGTTATTTGAGGCCGAGTCGACCTAATCGTCACTGGTGTTGACCGTGAGCGGGAATCAAACTCCGGTTGCCGGGTTTGTAGCGCAGCGCGCTGATCGCTACACTGCCGCTCACGCACAGACACACAGCAAAGACCCGACGTGTAGCTTTAGATCACTGTTGGGGCAAGTGCTGTTTGCGAGCATCTATGAACACACCCTCCCTAAACGAACCGGTGATGGAGGGGAGGTGGGAGGGGATTGTGTCCCGGGAAACGCTTTTTATTTGCGGCCACGACTGAGGCTCGTGTTGAATTCATAATCGGGACCCACGTCTACTACTCCCACCTCCCTTCCCTCCTACCCCTCCTCTCCTGCCACGTACCCCTCCCCTGTCTCTCTCTCCACCCACCACCTCTATTGCAACCTCTCTCTCCCCTCCCACGCCTACACCCACGCATATCCCTCCCTTGAACCCACCCATCTCCCCCTCCACTCCCCTCCCTCGAGGTCCTCCACCTACACTCACCACTCTGCCCTCCCACCTCGACCCCCATCTCCATCCCTCCACAACTACTCCCCCCCCCCCCTTTCACCCACTCCTCTCCCTACCTTAATTACCAGCAAATCAACCACCATCGATAATATCAACACAACAATCATCACCTGCCGCACCGGTTCAGCCATTTGTCGCCGCCGTTCGTTGGTCGTGAGCTGGAATCGAACTCGGGTTGCCGAGTTCGTAGCGCAGTGCATGAAGCACATTCCACTACCTCTCCCCAAAACAACATCTACGGTACAGGTATAAACTTTACTAAACACTTCGGTCTCGTGCCGATAGATAGCAACCACCTATTGAGGCTGACATCGCTCACGGAATGGGTGGTGTGGCCACCACCATGGACGACGCTTTTGTTTTTCCTTCCCGATGCCGATAGGGTTTGTACACAGCACCAGGTACTCGTTTAGAGACCGAGTCGACCTAGGGGTAGCCCCACCAGGACCGGTTCAGATATTTTCGTCACCGATGTTGGTGGCCATGAGCGGGGGAGTGGAACTCGGGTCGCCGGGTCCCCAGCGGAGTGGCGCTAACCGGTGCCCCACCGCTCGCTCCCCCACAGTCGAACACCCCCCACGCGCCTTACAATCCCGCGGGGCACGCAGAGGCAATTACATTATATCTGTATCGCGGGGGGGGGGGGGGGTGATGGAGGTGTCGGGGACAAATAGTCAGGGGGGTACGTGGGTTATGCGGCTCTCTGAAGGTGGTGGTGGTGATTGTTGTGGTTGTAACAGTCATGGTGATTGTTGGTGACCGTTATATGATGGTGGTGATTGTTATAACAATTATGATTGTGATTTAAGATAATGGTAGTGGTATGATAACAAAGTGGTGATTATTGTATTGTTACTAGTGATGGATTTGATCGTGGCTTTGATGATAATGTCACGCAGTATCCGCTCACTATCGTAGAGAGACGCGAGGAGGAGCCACAGACTCGCAGGGAGACAGCAGCCAGGCAGTGACCCGGTACCAACAATTCCCCGAGCTCTGCGGTCCTCGATTTTAAGGGTTGTTCGGCCAATTAATGAGTGTTTGTTTATACATGTGGGGGGTGGGGGGGCAATCGGAGCACCCGGAGGAAACTCACGAGGTGTGAGCGATGGACCAACTCTGTCCCAAACATATGGAACAAGTGGGGTTCACATTTTTTTGCTGTACCGCCTTCTCCAGGCAGAGACAGTCTATTGGCACTTTATCGACACCCACCGGGGAGTTTCGCAACATTCGTGTATGTGATCGATCCCACAACTTTCACCATCTCCACAGTGTTATGCTCGTACTTAAGGTGATGGTGATATTGGTTGTAATCGTGGTGGTGGTTGAATTAGTAGCGAATGCAATTATGGTAGCAATACTGTTATCGTAATGATGGTGATTGTGATGAAGCTGGCGCTGGTGACGGTGTGTTGATTGTGGTAGTGGTATGATGGCAATTGTGGCCATGATGGTGATGTGATTTGGAAGCGTTTGTTGTAGCGGCAATGCTGATTGGTGATGGTGGTTAATTTGGGGTTGGCCGTGGTGTGATGGTAGCGGGATGTGATGGTGATAGTGATTCTGGCCAAGGTGGTGCCGCTGATGGTTGTCGCGGCTGTGGTGATTGTTTTGGTGGTGATGATTTGTGATGGATGTATGGCAGGAGGGAGTAACCTCCTGCCAGCCAGACTCCGACACTTCACGTGGCCTCAATGGTGCGCTGGGCATGGCACGAGCGCCGTGGTGACGTCACTGCAACTTAGTGGCGAATGGCGGTGGCTGTTGTTGTTGTTGTTGATGGATTGTGTTGATGTGTTGTGCGGCGAGTGATGATGCATAGGTCTGGGCCGCGACTGTGGCGCAGACAAAATACAAAGATGCAGACAAAGATCCTCCGTAATAGCCTTTAACAGAGACTGTTTTGGCAAAGGCTGACTCGAATTGACACGCATACGCACGCATACTGTATACAATTTACACAAACACATACATTGACATGCACATATTCGCATACACACGTACTGTATTTATACACATACATTCGCATTTAGACGCATGTAAGTTCATACACAGAGAAATAGATCCCCCTTAACACTATTGGGACAAATACGCACATTTACACACTCGTATACACTCAAACAATGACATTCACACCCACACACATTCACACCCGCGCATACAAATTCCATCCCCGACTCATTGACATTCACACATGCATGCATACACAACAAAGACAAAGATCGCCCGTATAACCTTAACAGACTGTTGGGGCAAGTGCTGTTAGCGAAAAGCAGCTATGAAGGCCGACACGGCACACCGAGCGGTCGGTGGCCAGCACCACGCCCGGTCGCCTTTGTCCCCCTAGTGTCGGATGTTTACTACACACCGCACCAGGTACTCCTCGAGAACAGATACATCACTTCCTCATCGACTCGCTCCCTCCCGATCCTTCTATACCCCCCCCCCCTATTTCCTACCCTCCCACCCCCCATTTCCGACCCTCCCACCCCACATCCCCCCACACCCCCACCTCTTTGACACCGCCCACAGTAGCAGATGTTGGCAAGATCACGCAGCGGAACAGATGCGGTGTTTGTGTGTCTGTGTGTGTGGGGATGTGGCTGGGTCATGTAGCCCGCATGCCCAGCCACCGCATGCCTAAACAGCTTTTGTTCGGCCGGATCGAGGGGGCTAGACGGGCGCGGCACGGGCTGGAGAAGAGATGGAGTGATGTGGTACAGGAGGACGTGGAGCTGAGTGGACTTGCCGATGACTGGTACCAGCGGTGTCAAGATCGGCCTCAGTGGAGGAGGCTCGTGAAGGACGCTACTGGGCAGTTGGAGGCAGTCGCCCTCCAACAACAACGGAGGGCGGAGGAGCGACGCTCACAACAACGAGCGGAGCGCCGGGTGGCTAAAGCACAGCAAGTTGGCACAGTAGGGGGCACAGGTGGTGCATCAGCCAGTCATCTCGGTCATCTCGGTCAGTCGACCAGTGGCACCTGGGTCTGCCCCGTGACCTCCTGCCAGCGGGCTTTCGACACTTCACGTGGCCTCAAGGTGCACTTGGCCTGGCACAAGCATCGTGGTGACGTCACCGCCACTTAGTGGCGAATGGCGGTTGTTGTTGTGGGGATGTGTGCGGTTGTTGTGCCCTTTGTGTCGACGTTGGCTGCGCTACAAACCCGGCGACCCCAGTTCGATTCCCGCTCACGGCCACAACACCAGTGACAATCCGAACCAGTCCTGCGCCTCCCCTAGATTAACTCAGCCTCAAATGTGTTCCTGGATGCGATGTGTAAACATCGTGCCTGGGAAGACAAAGGCGGTCGGGCGTGGTGCTGGCCGCACACCCCGCGTGTACAATTTCCGGCCTTAATAGGTGCTCGCTAACAGCACTTGCCCCAACAGTCTGTTAAGGCTATGCAGGGGATCTTTGTCTATGGGGAGCTGTAGCTAAGTGGAAAGTTCACTGCAACCTGAGTTCGCTCACAACCGAACTTAATAGGTGCTCGCTTACAGCACTTGCCAACAGTCAGTACAGCTGGGGGGGTTCTGTGTATCTGGGTGTGTTTGTGGGTATCCACGTGTATATGAGTATCCGTTTCTGAGTGTATCTGTGTGTGTATCCCCTGTATATAACGTTATGGACACCAGACACATTTAGGGGGCATATTTTATTCTGAAGACTACTGTAAAAGCTCGGGAGAGAAGAGACTGATTATAATGGGAGGAGGGAATTCCAAAGTGGAACAGTGCGAGTAAAGCATGAAGAGAAGTCACGTGTTGGTGAGTGGGCCAGTGGATGAGTGAGTGAGTCATGACGTTATTTGGTGAATTAGTGGATTGGTGGGTGAGTGAGTGGGGTTGATGAGTGAATCGGGGTGTTGTGGCCTGGAGTGTGGTGTAAATGTCCGCACCAGGAGCTGAAAAAGCTCATTTTAACTCATTTTGACTCGAAACATCCAGAAACGCTGGAAATGTTTACGCACGAGCAGCACCAGCAGACAGGCAGGCAGTCAGTCAGTCGTGTTCTACGGGTTAGAACTTCCTCATTGTGAAACAACCAGAAAGCAGAAACTCTGCCATATTTCCCCATTTTCTCATTGTAAAATGTGACACGTTTCGGTGCGTCGCTGCGTGTTGTGAGAGGCAGGCGTAATGGACGGGGCAGAGGGATTTTAGTTTTCAGTGAGACTGCTGCAACCCAACTATCACCTGTAAAACCGTAGCGGCAACAGACACAACGGTATTTGTTTAACAGGGATCAAGGCCCCGGTGATGAGACTCGGAGAAGGCAGAACCGGTTAAGGGTTGTTATTTTTTGTTCGTTGAAGCAAGTAATGATAATTATTATGATTGTTAGTGTATTTGGCATACGGGCCATTCATACGGCGTGACGCTACAGTAACGAAGGAAGGCATGATGTCTCACTGATGGGTGTTGTAGGCCAGTAAGGAACGTTGTTGCTACGTGGGTTTCCACAATGAAGTAACTGCTGCTTGGAATAATTATCCCAGAAGGCTGATAGGCTGATGTACAGTACTGAAATATTAGAGTTTTTTTTGGGAAATTAAACAGTTCCGTTTTATTTTATTACCTTTTTTTTACTGATTATCACAGTCTATAAAGACCAAAAACGCACGAAAAGATTTTGTAGAAGCAACTTATGGCCTTCAGTTTACAATTGCATGTGGAGGACATTGACGGCAGGATGGGGGTAAGCAACTTTGAAGTTGGGAATGGAATGTGGCAACAAGTGTTGAATGTGCTATCAGGAAGAGGAGATAGTGATGGGTGGGACACATGTGGTGCAGGGTGGAGGAAGAGGTAAGCAACTTGGCGGTTGGGAATAGGAGGATGTAGTGATGGGTGGGATGCGTGTCTCGGCTGGTGGAGGGCAGTCCCCCTAGACGGGCATTGGAGCAGCACCCAGAGGTCAGCGACCAAGGGGAAGAGAAGACCTAAAGCCGGGCAATGGTGATGGCGATATCGTAAGAGGGGTCCTTGACAGACGTGTCGACTGTGTCACAAAACTGACTCAAGGTATACGTTCTAAAGACCTCTCCTTCCTCCCTGTGTCTTCCTTGTCTCTCTGCCTCCCTCTCTAACCCGATTTACCCCGTGTCTCACTCCAATCTCCCCATGTCCTTGCCCCCATCATCGCATCTCTCCCCATTATCTCCCCCTGCCTCCTATCCTCTCCATCTCCCCCATATCTCCTCCCCATGTCTCCTCCCGTATCTCTCTCCCCGTGTCTCCCCCCTCCTCCCGCCCATATGTTCCCCCAGTGGCTGCCACCCCCTGTCTCTCTCCTCGTGTCTCCTGCTCCACCCCCCACTGTGTCTGTCCCTTTGTACCCGCCCCAACCCCATCGCGTCCCATGTGCTGCAGCAGTGTGCCCGAGTGTTGTGACATCGCGGTGCCGCCCGGAGCACACGGAGGGGCGCGCTCTGTCTCCACCACGAGCGCCTCTCATGAGCACCGCCAGCAGCAGCTTCAGCAACAGCAGCAACAGCAGCAGCAGCAGCCGGCGCTCATGTTCGGCACATCACGCGAACAGCAGCAGCAGCAGCAGGGGGGCTCGGCACCCGCAGCAGGAGCAAGGGACACGGTTCTGTATGGGCAACTCATTGTGCTGGGGTGGGTATCCTTGGTGGTTCATTGTAATCGATATCATCGTCATCGTTCATGATCTATCCCCTGCTGGATGAAGGCCCCTCCTCAAGCCGTCGTCATCTCCCATTGGGTCATCACGAAGCAGCTTCGAGTTCCGCGGTGGATGTCTGCCCTTCTTGGGCTGTCACTCCGCAATTAGTCCTGCCCTCGCCCACTTACCAGTCAACGTGACGTCTCTCTCTCAATTGTGTATGTCCCCCGGGTGCATGTGCGCCTCTTGGCGGTACGATTTTTAGATCAATACGGCCTCAAATCAGTTTCCTGCTGCGGTGTGTTAAACATCAGCACTGGGGAGACAAAGGCGGACGGGCGTGGTGTTGGCTACCCATCCCTTCATGTGCTGTGCTGTCCTTCATAGGTGCTACTCGCTAACAGCACTTTCCCCAACAGTCTGTTCAAGGCTATAGTGGGGGATCTTTGACGGTTTTCTTTGGTACTTTTTGTGAGGAGCGTGTGATAAGACTAAAGTCAGTAGCGAGTGGGCAAAGTCCATTACTGGGTTGGTTGGCAGCTGCATAATTACCTTCACATTAGCCCGGCCAGGTCGACACATGAATATCATAACATGTCCTTGTTGTTGTGACCTAATGACCTGCCACTACCGGACATATGTGAAAAAGAGCATCATAGTTCATTGGATTCTTTCAGATCTTTTTTTATCGATATATAAATATAATAAGTCTGTGGTGGGGGAAACTACTGCCCACGAATTAATGTAATCCGCCCCTCGGCCACATAACGAAGCCTCCCGCTCTGCAACGTGAAACGGTGTTTACCCATCGATCGCGGACATCGTAGCCGCACTCATCGGGTCCTGGAGGGGGGGGAATCACTTGGACCTGAAAACTACAGCACCGTGCTGCTAATTCTAGCACTGCACTCAGCCACTGCAATTACTGCGAGGGTTTCTTTGTACTCAGTTGAAATGCGTGCGCTGTTTTTCGCAATGTTCTTGGATAACGCTGAGCGTGTATGTGAGTTTGTTCGCGTCTTAAAGGGTGTGGTCACCCGCCAAAGGTTTTTAAAAGTCCTGTTTGATCCTTGGTAAAGAACAGGTTCCTTAACCCTGTAATAATTCCTGTATGATGATGATGTGGATTATTTGAAAGATGATGGTAATGATGAGGTGGACGATGTGTGTCATTCCACAGACACAATGGCTGTCTCCCCCTGGGCGACAAGGGGCGCAGACGGAGTCGGTTTAACCTCTACCGCAGGTCAAAGGCCAACGGGGTCAAGCCCAGCACAATGCACGTGACCCCAACCCCCCAGGCGGCCAAGGTCAGCAAACACGGCACTACGCGGTGACCCTCGCCCTGACCTTGAACTATGACACTAAACTTTATATAAACATTTATTTGCATATCGCTTTATCAATCCACTGCTGGATGAAGGCCTGTCCGTGGCATGTCGGTCATGGGGGTTGTTTAATCATAGTCTGGAACTCCCTTCCCAAAGTCATCCATGCTGTCGTCTCCCTGCCCCCGTTCACATCCTGTCTCAAGATTTCCTCTTCTCCACTGCCTACGACTGATTGCCCCTCTCCCATAGACTCGCATGGAGACCTATAGACTCGCAGAGACCCAGAAAGAGCCATAGACTCATGGATCATAGATTCACATTGAGACCCACAAACTCGCACAGAGACCTACGATTGACTGACAATCTCTCGCGAGAAAATAAACACACCTACGGTTTCTTTCCGGCATCTTGAGATACGGTGACATTTATACGATGCTATATAAACCCACTTTGTGTTGCATTGTATGCACAAATGATGTGTTCACGTCGCCGCTCACACATCATTTTTACACACGTGCGCACGCACGCAACAACGTGTGTTTGAACACTTGTATTTGCAGAGATTGTGCAATTTTCCTCCCTGCTCACTTCCCTTTGAGCACCTGGCCACAGCTGCATTGCGGCCACCAATCGGCGCCACTCCCCAGAAAACAAACAGGGGATCATGATTGCCACTTGGGGCCCGCGTTTGTAAATTCCGGCTTTGTTCCCCCCTGCCCCCCCCAACTCCCCGTCACCGTGCCCAAGTCAAGAGACCGAATTGGTTCTCATCTGCTGCCAGTGACGAAACTAGTAGCTTTACATTAATAACATGTACAGTCAGCGTATCTTTCTTTGCTGTCCACGTAGCTATTTTTGATTAAGCGGAGTAAACTAGGGCTTGAGTATAGAACTATGGATGCAATTATTTATTTGAAATAGCGTAAAGCTTCGACTTATTGTCACACTATCGGGATGTTTGGCCAACTACCGTTCACGAGCAGTGTGTAATAAACGTGGGAGGCAAAAAGCAGAGTGCCCGGAGAAAACCCCCGCACGTCGCCTGGTCTCCCCCACTGCACCGCAGGCCGTGAGCAGCAAGGAGCAGCACAGCGTGTCGTACACGCTGTCGCGCAGCCAGACTGTCGTGGTGGAGTACGCGCACGACAAGGACACGGACATGTTCCAGGTGACCGGCACCGCGCGGGCCCACGCTCACGTCGGAGGAATGACACCCCGCGTCATTTGCTGCTGAGTAGACCTAAGGGGGCGACATACCGAGGGGGGGGGGTGGTGCGGCCAGAAAGCATCACAGCCTTTGTCTGTGTCTCTGACATACACACAAGTGCATACTTGCATACACACAAATCTGCACACTCATTTATTCAAAGACAAACTTCTCCCGAAGAGCACTTTACCAGACTTTTGGGGCAAGTGCTGTTAGCGACTAGCACTTATGAAGGCCTTGCATGGCATGTCACACACACACACAACGCACTCACTCGCACAAAGACAAAGATCCCCCGTATAGTCTGTACGAGACTTGGAGCAAGTGCTATTGTTGAGCGCCTATGAAGGCTGGCATGGCACAAGAGAGGGGGTGGGGTGGCCAGCACCACGTCCAGCCGCGTTTGTCTCCCTCGTGGTTATGTTTCATACACACCACACCGATATTAATTTCAGACTAAGTCGACCTAGGAGAGTCCCCGGACCAGTTCAAATATGCGGCAATCAAGCTTGGGTTGCTGGGTTTATAGCGCGGCGCACTAACCGCTACACTACCACTCCCCCGCTCGCACAGATCGGCCGCTCAACCGAGGGCCCCATCGACTTCGTGGTCACGGACACGCCGGCGGGCAATGGTGGTGGGGGGGGCGGTGCAGTTGGCCCCTCCACGGGGGGCGGCCCTGGCGGAGGGGGAGGGGAGGACGCGCACCTGGCAGCCCAGAGTACGATCTCGCGCTTCGCATGCCGCGTGGTCTGCGCGCGCACCGCGCCGCACAGTGCGCGCATCTACGCGGCCGGCTTCGATTCTTCACGCAACATCTTCCTCGGGGTGAGAGGGCGAGCCCACACCCACCCCTACCCGGCCGAACTCTGATCCATCCCCCCCTCCCGGAAAACTGATTCGTGAATTGTGATGACTCGGATGACTTTATCCCTCACTCGGCACTTGTTGAAATTGACAATGAATCCTGACCTCTCAGATTGATCTCTGAACGAGGATCTTGAAATAGCAGTGGACATATCCTTGCTTGTTTCAATATATAGGCCAACAGTCGCCCTATATGTGTTTTATTTTTCTGCAACTTAATTTTGTTCTTGTGCTGTTATCAGTTTGAAAATCATCTGCCCGAGCCAACTCGCCCTGCAGGGAATATAAGACTTGACATTGATTTGTGTTTGTGCAATATTCTCGAAGATGCAGTTGTTTTTGACTTGATTTGTATTTAACTTCAATGCTGCATTTAGTTTCATTGTATTTGTTTTTAAATCCTTTATATTAAGTTCACTTGCTTGCTTGCTTGCGCGCTTACAACCGTGCAAATCTTTCGGTCGTTGTTTAACCCACTTCCCGTGATCCAATCGGGCTGACATTTTGCACACAGACTCGTTGTGCGTGACAATTTATTTTCGTGAAAATTTTTTTCCTAAATTTTACACTTTTTAGGAATTTTTTTTATATTTAATTACCAATTGCTTAATGGTGGCAGGCAATCATCTGACCCATAGGTGGCAGCCATCTCAAGCCAGAGGACGAGAGGACTCTAGCCGCCACGCATATATAGGATTTATAGTGAAAAACTTTGTTTTTACGGGTTAATTTTTGCCTTCCTCATTTTTGGTGACCCAGGTCGCTCTTGCAAATCAGTGTGCCTTACCTGGTAAGATAAAAATTGTTGTATAGTTGTAGTAAATGTGACTCGCGATCCTGTTGAGTTCCGCACCTACGGTTTAAAACGGTGTTCTTGCTTGCAAGGCCTGCGGGCCACTGGCACCCCTGGTGGCCTTTAGTGAAGCCCCTGACATGCGGCCCCCAACGAAAGACAAATGCTGTCAAACCCAATGGTTTCAAATGTGCAGCGGCCCTCACACTGATGTCTGAAAATAAGTGAACAACACTGGTTTAAACAAAACAAACTGATTTCAGCTCCGACGTGGCCCATCCCTCCTCTGGAGAATTTCACTTGATCCCCGCCCCCCCCCATCCCTTGTCCGTCCCCACCGCGCAGGAGAAGGCCGCCAAGTGGAAGAGCGTAGCAGGCCAGATGGACGGCCTCACCACCAACGGCGTGCTCGTCATGACGCCGCGGCAACCGCCGCCGCACACTGGGGCCCCCGAGGGCGCCGGCGAGCCGAGTCCCGGCACATGGCGTGAGATCTCAGTGTGCGGCAATGTCTACTCGCTCCGCGAGACACGCTCCGCACAGCTGCGCGGACACCTGGTGAGTGGCGAGGGGGAGGAAGCGGAGGAGGGGGACTGTAAGTTGAGTGAGAATTCAGTCTGTGAGTGGGCGTCTAATCGAAAACAACCTGTAACTATTCAAGTCCATGGATCTTGTTACCACTGTGTGTAGCTATCTCTTTGTGTGTCTCTTTAAATGCCAATTATCCACCGGAATCTGCATTGCGATGACGCGAGATCATCGCACCTCACTCATGTCATCTCCGCTACCACTGTCCTCTTCCACTTCCTCTCCTCCTCCACACACCCCCAGGTGGACTCGGAGACCAACGTGCTGCGCGACGGCTCCCTCGTGGACCTGTGCGGCGCCACGCTGCTGTGGCGCACGGCCGAGGGGCTGGCGCGCGCCCCAACTCTGCGTGATATCGACGCGCTCCGCCAGGAAATCAACGCGGCGCGACCGCAGTGCCCCGTCGGCCTCAACACCCTCGCCTTCCCCAGCTTCCGGCGCCGCCCCGGCCCCACTGCCGGCGGTGGCTCCACCGCCAGCGGCGGCCCCACCAGCTGCACCGCGGCAGCAGCAGCAGCAACATCTGGAACAACCGCAACAACCGCAGCAGCGGCGGCGGCGGGATCCACTGTGGCCAACGGAACCGGCGGTGGCGTCGTTGACGAGGACCGGCAGCCGTGGGCCTACTTGGCGTGTGGACACGTGCACGGGCGGCATGAGTGGGGCCTCCGCGGCGGCGGCGGCGGCATCGGTAACGTCACCGGCGGCGCCGGCAGCAACGGTGGCGCAACGGAAGCCGGACGCGAGTGCCCGATGTGCCGCGCCGTGGGGCCCTACGTGGCGCTGTCCCTGGGCCGCGAGCCAGCGTTCTACGTGGACGCGGGCCGGCCGGCGCACGCGCTCTCGCCTTGTGGACACGTGTGCTCCGAGAAGACGGCACGGTACTGGGCGCGTGTGTCGCTCCCGCATGGAACCCACGCCTTCCACGCGGCGTGCCCGTTCTGCGGCACGGCGTTCAGCGAGGGCGAACGTGCCAGCGTCAGGCTCATCTTCCAGGGCCCTCTCGACTGACGCGTGCGGCCGCCCTTGCCGGGACGCACCTCCGCCACCCCTTCCCTGCGATGGGCTCTAACGCTGACCAAACGTCCAGATTCGAGCCACCCTCCAACCCCCCCGACCCCGGCACCCATAAATAGGAGGCCAACCTATGAAGGGACACCAAGTCTGCCGGCAGTCCGAGCGGTGCGTGCGTCACTTCCCGTAGGGCTTAAAGCTTTCTGAACAGCCTCCCCGTTTTTCTGGAACGAGTCCTAGTGGTTAGTTTCAGTGAGATTGTTCACGCAGTGTCATCCACCAAGGCATTTGCTGAAATATGTATATTTTTTATTTAGTTATTTTTTTCACACATTGGCAGTGGGCGGAGCTACGTTAGTAGTGGGCGGAGCTACCTGAGTAGTGGGCGGGGTTATCTGAGCAGTGGGCGGGGTTATCTGAGCAGTAGGCAGAGCCAACTCCGATCCTCTGAGCCACCTGTAACCTCGTATTTCCGCGATTGGTAATTTTCCCGTTAAAATGCAAATTAGGTTTTTACTCACTGTACTGCACTTGCCCAATGATTGTTAAACGCATACCACGTGTAGAATCACAGCGCTGATGTAATTTTAATTGCGGCTCCCTGTGTCACACAGGGCACACACACACGTGCACATACGACAATATTTCTCCATGTGCATTAGAGCTGGTTCTACATCACGTGGAACATGTTTAGCAATCATCAGGCTTGCGCAGTGTGTAAAGACTTGATTTGTGTTTTGACAGATGGTGAATTTGGGTTGACTCAGACTTAAATGAGGACCTGAGTGTGGTAGTGAACATCGGGGTGAGCATGAACACGAACCTGGCATTGATACATGCCGCTCTTTCTTTTTATTTGTAAACACTCTCAACTCTGGGTGTGAACTTTACGCCATGGATGTGAATTATAATCGCTGGACGTGGATTCGAACTCTGGAGGTGGATTCCATTCCTGGATTTAAACTTTTCGGATACATTTGAGCAAGTGTCTGGGGTGACGAGGAATGGACACGGACCTGTGGATTAAGCAAAGAAAACACTGAATTAATAATTCACAAGACTTTCAAATTCGCATGAATACCTCATCATAAAGATCGTCATCACTGTCATCGTAATCATCGTAAATGTCATCATCGTTGCCATGATCATCCTAACCATCATAATAATCATCACCATGGGCCTGATCATCGACCACATCGAAGCTTCGGGAATGAATGACTCGCGCGATTTGAGCTGCGTCTATTTTTTTGGGGTGCACATTGGAAAAGCGCGCGTTGCTTTGAGGGGGAGGGTAGAGGGGGGGAGGGCGGCGGGCTTGGGGGTGGGGGCTGGGGTGTAGGGATGGTGAATCATGTGAATCGTGTGAAGGAAAATGCAGAATACAATTCGCACACAGTGATGGATAAACGCGTCACCACCGCCAACATCATCATAATCACCCCCCTCGTCACTGCTATTACTGCCACGTGATGTGTGCGTGTGCGTACACTGGGTCAATGCAGAGCAATATGCATACACGCAGCAATATGCAACATTCCATACACCAGCATGGACAACATACATACACGCGTACATAAATACGCACACCCTACATACATGTACAAAAACGTAAAGACAACGATCCCCTGTATAGCCTTTAACAGTCTGTTTGGGGCAATTTCTGTTTGTGAGCACCTATGACGACCGACACAGCACACGAGGGGTGGTGTGGCCAGAACCAACAGCATCATCATCATCCACACAACAGCATCAGCATCAATGCAACCACATCACCACCAACACAACTGCATCACTGTCAACATAACATCGTCACCATCCACACAGCAGCATAGCCATCATCGACACAGCAGCATCGCCACCCACACAAACGCATCACCGTCAACACAACAGCGTCAACACACAGCAGTCGCAGCAGCACCACTGCTATCCCCACAATGGGTTGTAGTCCACAGGATACCACCGAAGGTGGCAAAACTTTAGTACCGATTTATTCATACGGCTAAATACGAGTGAATTACTGGATAACCCTCACTCCAAGTGGTATTCACATATTTCGATTTAAAGCTTTCGTGACTGCAGGGATTCATCTTCTTGGTTCTTTCGGTAAAGTCACGTAGAAGGGAAGTAATAAAATGATACAAATTAAACATGATAAAATAATTCTCACGACGTTTCGGCCACAACGCAAGCAGCCGTCCTCAGGTGAAGAATGTTTTTTCTTCACCTGAGGACGGCTGCTTGCGTTGTGGCTGAAACGTCGTGAGAATAATTTTATTGTTTTATTTTTATCATTTTATTACTTCCCTTCTACGTGACTTTACCGAAAGAACCAAGAAGATGGTATTCACATACTTCACCGGTATTGACCGCATACAAATCAATTGGAACCGCTACAGTTGATACCATCCTGGGTGGTACCGGCTAAGTCAGGGGTCTGCAACCTGCTGTTTTGGAGCAGCATGCCGGTCTTTACAGACTGCTTCGTGACGTTATGTATGTATGCATTCACATGCATTGCGGCTCTTGAAATGTTGAGGTTTGTACCGAATTCGAAAAAAATGTCTTTTATTTTGGCTGCCCGACCCCTAAAGCTAGCATTGGGCGGCTAACTAACGTGTTGCCAGAGTCCCCTCCGATGGGCCAATAAACACGACCGCTCTCATGCCTCGCCTCGCCGTGCCCAGGCCTCCTGTGGGTTTATTCTTCATTACTCATTGGTTTGTTTCGGTAAAGTCACGTAGGTAGAAAAATAAAATAAAACAAAAAAGAATAGATATTACTTCATTTATTTTTCTACCTACGTGACTTTACAGTCACGAACGCTTCAAATCAAGATTTTTCTTCATTGTTGGAGATCCAAACAACATCGCACTCCTCCTCCTGGCTTTGACATTCCTCCTCGAAGACACCGGTGGTGCAAACCATCAACTGTATCAGAATGAATGATCAATATGCTGATGATGCTGTACCGCATCTCCTTGATGAATGGAAAATTAAAGAGACAAGCCATAGTAGTGCGATCGTGGCCATGCAATCCAAACCACAGACCGTTCAGCAAACCCACCGTGGTGGTCCTCTGCTCCTTCAAGGGAGGAAGAGAAACATCGACACGATACGAACGAACTCCTGAAGCCCTCTCGTCGTGACCAGCAGCGGCAGCGCAGACCTCGGCATTGGCATCGCGCCCCTGAACTACATCGCTGCCTATCGCAAGAATAGAACCAAGTGAAAGGTGATGATCGTCTTCGGCTTGATCAAAGCAACTCATCGCATGCGGCGTGCTGTATGGAGTATTGCACGTGTACACACGTGTGTCCCTTCAGTCACTGAACTTCTGGATGAAGGCCTCCCCAGGATGAGTCTTTGACCGCATTTCACCGTTATTATTATTGTCCCACATGTTTACACCAGGAAAGCCTCTTCGAGTCTCATGACTTTGTGTCAGGGGGGTCCTGCCAAGTCTTCACAAGTAGGGTGGGGGGGGCGAAGATGATTGCTCCGAACTGGTTAATGTTTGTACGCTGCTTGTTCATTGTGTTTTGGTGGAAGGGCGGGTGGGTGAGCAGCATAGAGAGTTGGGAACATAGAAGTACAGTATAGCCTTAACCTTACAAGGGTGAATGTTGCTGTACTGCTCTAACCACCTGGCACAAACTCCCGCAGCGTGAGAATCTAAACTCCTCGATTCCTGGAGAGGCACAATCCGAAGACGGCGACGAAATCCACCTGTCATGCGTAGCGGTCGTGCCGTCCAAGCATTTGACCAGACTCACTCAAACACTGCTGCTTAGCTTCCGACATCTGATGAGATCGTGTGCGTTCCGAATAATTTGTAGAGTATTTTGAGCTAAATAAATAAAGGCACATTTAGACATCTGAGGTCAAAACCCGTGTGTGTGTGTTTAATTAGGTTATCTGCCGCTTTCTCATAATTGGTCAATAGTGTAAATGTACCCCCCGCAGCAAATCGTGTATGCAAATATAACTATTTACATTGGACCCGGTACCCTCCCGTCTTACTCCCTCCTCCATCCCCCGCCTCTCATTTCCACTCCCCTGTCGCCCCACCACCACGCTCTCCTCCCTCTCTCTTGCTCCTTAAAATTCCACGCGAGGCTTTGTTCTAAGGCAGCAAGCCATCACGGACATGCGGGACGTACGGACGGACACGTGAACAACAAACACACGGACACGAGCAGACCCTTGTGCAGCCATACGTAGACTGTCGGGACAAGTGCTGTTAGCGAGCGCCTATTAAGGGATAGAAAGACAAAGGCACCCGTATAGCCTTTAACTGAATGTTGGGACAAAAGCTGCTAACGAGCATTTATTAAGGCCGGGACGGAACACGAGGTGGGTGGCCACTACCACGCTCGACCGCCTTTGTCTCTCCGTGTTGATGTTTATACACGCACCATGTATACAATTAAGGTCGAGTCGACCTAGCGAAGACACAGGAACGGTGAAAATATTCGTCCTCCCTTTTTATTCGTGATTGGGAATCGAATTCGGGTCGGCGGGTTCGTACCGGGCTCGCGCAGACATCCACGAAAATACAGGCAACAGAAGGCCCCTGTCGTCTGTATCTGGCGGTGACATCACCACGCGAGCTTGTGCCAGGCTAGGTGCATCTTGAGGCCACACACCAACCCACTCACAAATACAACAAAGACAAATGTCCCCCAGTATAGCCTTTACAGTCTTTTGGAGCAAGTGCTCTTCGCGAAGGCACGGCACACGAGGGGGTGGGTAGCCAGCACCACACCCGGCCGCCTTTGTCTCCCCAGGTACTTATTTTAGGCTGAGTCGACCTAGAGGAGGCCCAGGACCGGTTCTGATAATCGTCACTGGTGTTGGTCGTGAGCGGGAATCGAACTGGGGTCGCCAGGTCCGCAGCGCGCTCGCCGCTACACACAAATACCACTAACAAATACTCACAGGTGATCCCACATTATTAATGAAAAGTATTATTTTCGCATTGTGGTGTTTGTAGTAACAATGGGTCCATAGTCTGGGCAGGGGGCCGGCAACCAAAATAACAAGAAGAGACATTTTTTTCGAATTCGGTAAAAACACTGAATATTTCAAGAGCCGCAATGCATGTGAATACGAGACGGTTTTTAATAAATAACGCCACGAAGCAGTCCTTAAAGAGCCGCAGGTTACCAGCCCCCCGGTCTAGTCTAGTGGTGGTACGGTCTATATTCATGACTAAAATATGTAGCGTGGAAATATGAAACAATCCAGTCGATGTGTGTTTAGGGAAGTGTTGTGTGTGTGTGTGTTCTAGGGATGAACGATTTGGGGAAAATATCTAATTGCGATTTTTCTGACATTGCGATTGCAATTTGATTTGCGATTACATTTTTTAAAGTCAAGCTTCAGTTCAATATTCATTGTGTAATAGATTTCAAACATGTGATGGAGCATTACCACATGATGCCATCAAAATATAAACTGCTCTCTATATATTCTAATGCAAGGATGAGAACTTAAAACATATGAATTGCTTCCAACATGTATTTATTAGTTTAACACGCAGGCTTTCGCGACCAATATCATCCATAATAGAGGTTTTTGGGTTAGATTGCATAAATATATAAATGTGTCGTTAACACCCGCTACCACCCAATCAACAGGGCATTGAATACCAAAACCAAATTAAATAACAATAGCATTGAAGCTGCCCAAGTAATTAAAACGATCAAAATACCGTACATTGCGGGAGTAACTGATAAACTAGCCAGATGTTTGGAAAAACAAAACATCCCAGTCAGATTTGGCACGGTACATAAAATATATGTAATATCTGGTACAAAAGATGTGTTACCGAAGCTATCAACAGAAGGTGTGTACAGGAGTAACTGCACGTGTGGTAAGTGTTATGTTGGGCAAACAGGACACTCAATTGAAGTTTTGTGCAACACTAGCTACTACTTGCCAAGACTAATTAGATAATCTATCGAAATTGAAAGAAATCAAAATAACTTTAACCGTTCGGATAGCTACCGCCTTAGTGCTGCGTGGAAGCGAATCATCAAATAATACATTAATTAAATGTATGCATACAAAGGGCAGCGTACTTCAATAGGGATTACCGTTGGTAGGGCTATCTTAATAAACACAATAGACAGGAAGGACAAGTTCAAAGGGCTCGCATAATGCACATGCATCATGTACGTTGCCTCAGTAATCCCCCCCCCCCCCCCCATCATTGTGCAAGAGCGCAGCTGCTTGGTCAACACATCTACGCCTCTATACAAGGAACGAAACAGTAAGACTTCTCCACAAATCTGGCTGTGGCCTGATGAAGCTAGTTGTAATTGCTGGCGAAACGTCATACTCAGTTTTGTAAATGTTGTGGCTTGGCTCTCCAACACACCGGTTAGTGCTGTACTAGTATACTACACTATACACTACTACACTATCCACTACACTATACACTACACTATACACTACACTCTACACTAGTGCTGTACTAGTGACGAATTGGCACGTTCTGTTTACGTGACAACCCTTACTAGTTGGCTGTGTCGGGTGGTGGCGGGTTTTAACGACACATTTATATATTTACGCGATATAACCCAAAAAACCTCTATTATGGATGTATTTATTAAAATGTTTTAATTGAAATAAAACAATCAAACAGAACAATTGTTAAGTTAAATAAACAAAGTTCTACTAATCAAAAAGAAAACAATTCAAATAAGAAAAATTACTTTTCAAATCGCAAAAAATCGCAGCCTTTGCGATTTGCTAATCGCATTGTTTCAAATTGCGATTTGAAATCAATCGTTCAGCCCCAGTGTGTTTGTCACTGTGAGGAGGTTCGTGAAAGACGCCGCTGGGGAGTTGGAAGCAGTCGCCCTCCAGCACTAACGGAGGGAGGGCTGAGGAGCGACGCTCAACAATGAGCGCAGCGGCGGGCGGCTAAAACGAAGAGTTGGCACAGCGGGGAGCGCAGTTGGCTCACCTACCAACCATCTCAGTCAACCCACGGAACCTGGGTGTGTTCCGTGACGTTTTGACACTTCACGTGGCCTCAACGTGCATCTGGCCTGCCACAAGCGCCGTGGTTGAATGCACCGCCACTGAGTGAACGGCGGTTGTCAGTGATCTGTAATGCTGCACTGCCCTCTGCTGACAAATACTTGCATTTGATAATCTACAATTATCACACACGGGGGGTTTTCGTGTGCTCCGAAGGGCCATTGCCCGAAATGTCTTCCATTGTAGTTTTCCTTTTGATGGCCAGTTTTTTTTAATCGACGAATGCGTTTAGTTTTACTTCATTGTGCTTGTGCACCGCTGCCAACGCAGCAACATCACCAAACTGTTTGATATAAAATATGTTCAATAAGTGCCGGTATGGGCCTGTTAATGCAACGAGTCTAACAAACCTCTACTGACGAATCCCCAATGAGACTTCCTAAACAAAGTAGCTGTGCAAGACATATCACGTCAGTCAATCAGCGTGATCGTGAAGACCAAGCCAGAGAATTCACGGCCCATACGCTTCGTTCAACCTATTCATCTCATCAGTCAAGCGGCCTTCTGTGATTCAGTGCATATTTTCATAAGCATTTGGTTAATAATACAAACTGCACCGGTTTCGACACTCAATATCTCAGCAGCAGTCAGGTTTGGAGGCATTGCTTATTGATTTTGTTCCTCAACACGATTTACAAGAATCTGCTTTTTAAATCCTTTATATTAAGTTCACTTGCTTGCTTGCGCGCTTACGACCGTGCAAATATTTCGGTCGTTTTTTAACCCACTTCCCGTGATCCAATCGAGCTGACATTTTGCACACAGACTCGTTGTGCGTGACAATCTATTTTCGTGAAAAAAAAAATTCCAAAATGTTACACTTTTTAGGAAAAAAGAAATTATATTTAATTAACAATTGCTTAATGGTGGCAGGCAATCATCTGACCCATAGGTGGCAGCCATCTCAAGCCAGAGGACGAGAGGACTCGAGCCGCCACGCATATAAAGGATTTATAGTGAAAACCTTTGTTTTTACGGGTAAATTTTTTTGTCACTCGGCCCATTTCATCAGCCAGGATCCATCCCCTGCTGAAGGCTTCCCCATGCCAAAACCATCTCTCAGGGTCCAGTAAAGTAACAATCCATCGAGCATCTTGCACCCAGCGCCAATAGCTCTGCTCCATCTACGTGGTAGACGTCCCCTCAGTCGTCTTCACTCCTTTGGCTGCCACTCCAGAGTTAGTCTCGACCATCGGCAACCATCCCTTCCAGTGATGTGTCATGCCCAGGCCAACCTAATTTTATTCACTAAGACAATGGAGAAAAAGTAACCCGTAAAAACAAAGTTTTTCACTATAAATCCTTTATATGCGTGGCATCGGTTTTATTTTATTATTCATTTCTGTTTTTCTTGAGTAAGAGTTTCATTTTGATCACATTGGTATTTTTAATTAAATATGAAGAAAAAAAGAATTCCTAAAAAGTGTAAAGTTATGGAATTTCTTTTTCACGAAAATAAATTGTCACGCACGAGTCTGTGTGCAAAATGTCAGCTCGATTGGATCACGGGAAGTGGGTTAAAAAACGACCGAAAGATTTGCACGGTCGTAAGCGCGCAAGCAAGCAAGTGAACTTAATATAAAGGATTTAAAAATAGGGAAAAGTGGGCAAAGAAGTACGATGGAGAGATGCATGCTTGCGATTAAAAAGTGAACCCACAGATCGGACAACACGCGCAAGTTCAGAGACATCAGGAAGTAACTTACGTAGTTTTTATTCATTTCACGTTAATATGCTCAAATGCATCGCCAACATTCAACAGTGTGTGTGGGAAAAGCCTTCAGACATGTTAAGTTTAATGCACATTTAAACAAATGACTTTGGGGGTGGGGGGGGGGGCAAGGAATAAAAAAAACGCTTCAGTAAGCTATCCAGAGGTCACTCACATTAACGAAGTGACCATCACTCTCTAATGTGCTGTCGGGTTGTACCGCGTGTTGTCTCGGCAACGATGTCCAACTCTTTGCTCCGCGTGCTGGGAGCTCCTCCCGGAAACGGAATTGGTCTCGCTCCACGAACACTAAAACACATCGGAGAGCTACACGGCACGACCGCGAAAACCTACGCAGGAGCGCTCACCACGTCGCCTGCGGTAGAGTATACAGCGTTGCACGCCCCAATTGGCTGGAGTCCCTGGGTATAGTCTAGTGGCCACCACTCGGCACCGTCCCCATTATTCACCACTCCTGCCAACAGGTCTCAAGCTAAGAGAGTGGTCAGTCACGACAAACATTGCCCAGGTGGCTGGTAGACTGGGGTCGGCGGCACGTGGCTCATAGCAGCCACAGCCCATAATAGTGAGAGGTATGCTGGATGCGGTGACGAATGTTGATATACTGTGTGGGTCACCAATCTGGACTTGGATAATATTTAGCGCCGGTCACCACACAAAACTGAAAATCCCTCACTTATCCCAATTGAAATGAATGCCAACTCTAATAGAAGTCTGCCGCTCTGAAAAATAGTGTACCAGCCAATAATGATTGTGCTAATAAACACACGCAAACTAACCCACCAATTGCCATGCCCTGTGAGCGCCAAACACAAATATAATTGGCTCTGGCAGTATTTTTATGAGTTGCGGTGATTTTAACAAAAGCGCCAGGACTTTTTTGTAATTCATATTTCCATCTCTTTATATTATACTATTATAATTTTACTTCGCTCTGTATGACCCATCATTGTTTGGCGAAAGCAGAATGCAAGAATGCTTTTCCCAAAATGGAGGCGTGGGCACAGGTAACTCGGGACAGTGGTGTGAGGTCACATACCCCGGTCTCACAAAATTGACAAACTATTCCCACCAGCAGGCAATGTAGTGTCCACAAAGACTGCATTTCCCCTGCCCCCCACAACAACTTCGTAATCAACATCAATACGTCACGACACGGGTGTACGGGGGATGTGACGGTGTTAGTAGTGAGTTACACGCGCCTTGTGCTCTCGCCCGCGGTCTCCCCGCACCGTGTTGTTTTATAACTCGCGCTGCTGTTGCTTAATAGCGGGCGACCGGGGCGATTGCGTGCGTGAAAAACGTGCAGCTCTCCCACGCGAAACCTCGCCCCACCTTGCATGCTCCACCAGTGTCAACTGTTAGACCCTCCTCCATACATCCCTCCAGCTCAACTCAACATGTTCCACCTCAATACGTTCCAGCCAATTCCTCTGCCTAAACACGTTTCATCTCCTAAATCCACCTCGGGACGTTAAACATCCTTCGCCTACCTCAACGTGTTCCATCCTTTTCACGCACTTCCAATACGTTCCACATCCCTTCATTACGATGCGTTCCACTCAATCGCTGCACCTCACCACGCTCCACGGTGACACACGCACCTCGTCACGTGGCACAACTTCACGCGCGACACCAAATCCACCCTTCTCCCATCGCTACCGCTCACCCTCCATCGCTCATCGACCTCCCCTCCCGGCTCCCCCACCATCTCCGTGGCTCCCCTCACCTCCTGTCTCTCCCACCTCACCGACCCCCTAGCCGTTGGCGCGTCACGGCTACAGGAGGCGACGCACGGCGAGGAGCGAGTCGGCGCAGACCTTGAGCAGGGCACACAGCTGGGTGCTGCCCTCCACCGAGGCGGTGTGCTGGAGCTCGCGCGATGCCCACGCCATCTTGCACACGAGCACCGCCTCGGCCTCCTCCACGCCCCGTCGGGCGACAGTCCGCGACACGGCGCCACCGCTGCCGGCGCCGGAGCCGTCACGCCCACCAGGGCGGGACAGGCCGGTTGACTGGGTTGGGGGTGGGGTGGGGGTGGGTTGGGTTGGGGGTGGGGTGGGGGTGGGGTGAGGGTGGGGTCAGAGTGGGGTTGGGGTGGGATGAGAAGCACACGCGCGTACATTACATAATCAAACACGCGTTTGCGTGCAAGCAAGCATACTAGCTCACACACATGTATATGTGAACACAAACACATGATCAGGGCCGAGATGGATTTGTGATATCACAGGAGATAGCCCATCCAAAAGTGGATTACTCATGACTAATGATGATGATGGCTGAAATGTCCAACAATAAAAACGAAGTTCAGCAATGTACACATCTGTTGGAGCATACAGTGTCTGATAAGCACCATGTGATTTTAACATTCGCCCGTGCCAATACATGCATTTAATATAAAATAACATTGCATTATATTATCTATAAATTTTAAATAAATCATTGGATCAGAAGCCAATTATCCATTTATTATCGTATAACTACCCTAGTTGCTTGTGAGCACGTGGGTGAGCTCACTCACCGATGTGAGGCCCGACAAGGTGCTGGAGAGAGTGGTCAGGGGGGCTGTGGCACCCACAGGACCCCCCCCTTGCCCAGCCGAGAGGCCAGGGCGGACGTCCGGCACGGCGAGCCCTGCCGGTTCGGCGCGGGGCCCCGCGGGACGGGCCCCGCGCTCCTCTGCGCCGTCAATGCCGGCGTCCCCCTCCATTTCTGTCGTTGCCGCCGCTGCCGCCGCCGCCACCTTAATGCGGCGCTCGCGCACCTGGGACAACGCGGCCTGAGGGTTCAGGGCTGCGCAGCAAGCGGGAGCATGTGGGCACGTACAGACACACGCGGATGGTCACGTGAACACCCAGAGGTGGAGGGACACACAAGCACACCATTGAGAGGTTGGCTACTGAAGATGTGTTGGTTCTTCACGAATATTCGATTCTCACGATGAATGCATTGAACTACGCACAATATGTTCTACATATTTGTACCATTATAGATACTAAATGCCCCACAAAGGCAAAATAAATCGATACGTAATTCAAACCATCACCCTGAATAATTAATCATTCAGAGGCATTCGTCAACACCTTGTCACCATCGTCACTGAAGCCTTCGGTAGAGTACCTGGGTTGTCTTTATCGACGTCCGAGTCCAACTCCATGCACGCAACGCAGTAGTTCTTCCGCTGCCTGTCCTGCAGCAGGATCGTCTGATATGGGGCAAGGGGGGGGGGGGAAGTAAAACAGACACCAGCATCAGCACAGCAAATTAAAAAGTCGCTCCACCTACACTGACCGTTGCAGCCACTACCACCGCTACCACACGATCAAAGTGTTCTTTCCATCGTGTTATACACATTTAACAATCATCAAGCAAGTGAGGTGCGTAACAAGTTGATATGCATTTTTGCAGAGAAGTTTCTGATCAACGTGGCTATCGGAAGGACTGGAAGCTTGAGGAAAAACCCCTACATAAAAAAAAACACAAATGGAACGCCGGTCGCGCATCGCCCAACCAACTGCAACTGCCTCTGCTCACCCCGCACTCATCGCAGCCTTCGCCCAGCATCTTGTATCCCTTGAGGAGGTATTCGCCCATGATCTTGCTGATTTTGTCCTGCCGCTCGCGTCGAGCAGTCATCACCTTCATCTCCGCCTCGCTCGGAGGTTCCCAAGGCGCCTCGGCCTGCTCCGCTGCACAGGCACAGCGTGCACGCGTAGAAATTACAGCCGCGCGCTCGCAATCAGCATCTCTATTTCGATTTAAAGCTTTCGCGACTGCAGGGGTTCATCTTCTTGGTTGTTTCGGTAAAGTCACGTAGAATGGAAATAATAAAATAATAAAAATAAAACATCATAAAATAATTCTCACGACGTTTCGGCCACAACGCAAGCAGCCGTCCTCATGTGGAGAACAGGTCTGTCGAGTAGACAGAGCCTGAATGAGTCATTGAGACTGTCTACTTGACAGACCTGCTCTCCACCTGAGGACGGCTGCTTGCGTTGTGGCCGAAACGTCGTGAGAATTATTTTATTATGTTTTTATTATTATTATTTTATTATTTCCATTCTACGTGACTTTACCGAAAGAACCAAGAAGAATTAGCATCTCATTATAGCAGGGCTCCTTGAGATGCAATTCCTGTAAGAACTAGATTTAGGTATTGCAGTCGCACATGCTGTATGCGTATACAACGTATCTGTGTATATAGTTAGACAAGTTTATGTATTTGCGATTGAATATAATGATTTGTTTGCGATAAGAAAGCCCTTTACGCAGGGTCGTCTCTGAATAGTTCACACGCGTTAAGCGACTCGTATCTCATCTCAAACATTTGAAAGGGCACGCCGAGTAGCGGCTGTCTCTCTCCAGACACAGGTGATTCAGCACCTGGCCTCCAAGCGGACATTAGTCTAGCAGGAGAGAGCCACGGTTCCTTTGTGTCATCCACATTGAATTATTTTGCGGGTAGTTTTCTAACGGCAATTTTTGGACCAATGACCCCCACATCCGTACGCTGTGCGAGCAATGAGGGTTATGAGACCATACGTCACCACGTTGGTCGGTGCGGATTTGTAAAGGTTGGTGAGCACAGACGGGGAAACATACAAGTAGCGTACAACAAACGGATGTCGCGCACTGCTGCCCACGACGCATTGTAATAACCCCTCTAAAAATAATACACATTTATAACGCGCACAATATTTAACAGACATAAACGACCGTGACTCCGGGGCGTTGAGTTGTCGTTCGACTGCTGGGCGGGACAGATGTTACGGGGGGGGGGGTGGTGGGGGACTTTAAATGACACTTAAAAGTCGGTGTAGATTGAACGTTGCTGTGAATTTGCAACGTGAGGATGATGATGGCGTTCCAGGTTAGACGTCGCTTGGCTTGCGACTTCTGCCGAGACCGCACGCACTTCAGGCGATTTTGTCAAAGGCACACAACTCGGATAATCTTAATTTTGGAGCTTTCGTGACTGCAGCAACTTGGATAAACCGTGCACAGGAGCACACAGACGTGCACCCACACGCTACACTAATGCCAGAAACAACAAGTCATTTATCTACATATACACTGCATTCGACACATTACGCCTGTAAACTACGCATTGCGGTTACGCAAATGTTGCATTTATAGACAGCGTGCGTTTGTTTATTATTTAATTGCGTTTGGTCTCGCTTAGCAACGCTCTTAGGCCGAAGCCTCGGTCCCGCCTGGTTCCCGCCCTGGGTCACCCCTCACTTCCCACGGCCGCCGCCTCTAGTCGAGCCCGGGGTGGAGGCGCGGCGAGACCGGGCCTCGCAAGTATGCGACGCGTTAAATGAATTTAACGCGAAATCAAAACACATTTTTGGTTTCATCTCATTTTTTTTTAAACCGCACAAAGCGCACGAACATTCTTCAGACGCCGTACCGGAGTTCACCGCCATCTCGAGCCGTGGAATCTTTGCCGCGGAGGAACTAATGGCGAGTTTGAAATGAAGCGACCAAGCGTTGTCGGGATGACGCGGGGTGGGGTGGGGGTGAAGGTGGGGGGCTTACGGAGGCTCGCGAGGCTGCAACGTCAAAATAAAACGCGATTCGATTTTTCTACCCGCCGCCCCACCCACGGTTATGGGTGATCGATGGTGTTGGCTGAACCAATGGGGGGGAGGGGGCGGTCCAGGCGACTTGTGCTGATGAGACATTGAATGTCGAAACCGGTCCAGAGTTTGCTTTGCGTTGATGAATCGGTCTTATAAATCCTGATTTTGCTGATTAATTGTGTAACACTTTTTTTGTTGCCTTAGGTAGTGTTATTTTATAATGGCTTATGCCTCAAAAGTACAGAACTGAAGATTTCGTGACTGCAAGGATTCATATTCTTAGGTTTTTTCGGTAAAGTCACGTAGGTAAAAACATTAAATTGATAAAGTAAAAATAAATAAATATATGAACGTCGTGCTTTTTATTTTACTTTTATTAATTTTCATTTTTTTACCTACGTGACTTTACCGAAAAAAAAAAAAACCTAAGAATATGACTATTATTCCCCGACTAACTTTACTTTTGTGACCATGACACAAAAGCAAAGTTAATAATCCACTCCATTAATAACAATGTGTAACAAACATTTGTTTGTTCCTGGGTAGTAAGTGTTAATTCCTAATTGCTTATGCCTCAAAAGTCCAGACAATGGCTATTATTCCACACAAACTTTGCTTTTGTGACCAGGACAGTGATATTTTTAAATTTACCTATTTTCAACGAAAAAACGCGGTGTGCATTTGTGTCATTCCTTCACGTAAAGTCCTGGTCACAAAAGCAAAGTTTGTGGGGAATAACAGCCATTTTCTATACTTTTGAGGCATACCCAATTAGAAAAATAACACTTACTGCCCAGAAACAAAAATCGTGTTACATAGTGATATCAAAGCTGTTTTGAAATTTACTTGTGTTAATGAAGCGATCCTATAACGTCTGATTCTGCTGATGAGACACTCAATGTCGAAACCAGTCCAGAATTTGGTGTACGTTGATACACCGATCCTATAAAGCCTGTTCCTGCTGATGAGACACTGGATCTCAAAGCTGGTCTAGAATTTACTTGTGTTAATGAAGCGATCCTATAAAGCCTGTTCCTGCTGATGAGACACTGGATCTCAAAGCTGGTCTAGAGTTTAATTGTGTTAATGAAGCGATGCTATAAAGCCTGTTCCTGCTGATGACACACTGGATCTCAAAGCTGGTCTAGAATTTACTTGTGTTAATGAAGCGATCCTATAAAGCCTGTTCCTGCTGATGACACACTGGATCTCAAAGCTGGTCTAGAATTTACTTGTGTTAATGAAGCGATCTTATAAAGCCTGTTCCTGCTGATGAGACACTGGATCTCAAAGCTGGTCTAGAGTTTAATTGTGTTAATGAAGCGATGCTATAAAGCCTGTTCCTGCTGATGACACACTGGATCTCAGAGCTGGTCTAGAGTTTACTTGTGTTAATGAAGCGATCGTATAAAGCCTGTTCCTGCTGATGAGACACTGGATCTCAAAGCTGGTCTAGAGTTTAATTGTGTTAATGAAGCGATGCTATAAAGCCTGTTCCTGCTGATGAGACACTGGATCTCAAAGCTGGTCTAGAGTTTACTTGTGTTAATGAAGCGATCGTATAAAGCCTGTTCCTGCTGATGAGACACTGGATCTCAAAGCTGGTCTAGAGTTTAATTGTGTTAATGAAGCGATGCTATAAAGCCTGTTCCTGCTGATGACACACTGGATCTCAAAGCTTGTCTAGAGTTTATTTGTGTTAATTAACCAATCCCGTAAATCTTCATTCTGCTGGTGAGACACAGCATGTCGGAACCGGTCCAGAATTATGCCCTTCTAGAAGGTCGTGTGAACAACATCGTGTACCTATTATGCTGACAGACATATACGTGTTACAGTCCGTTTATCTATTTAGTTACGGTAATCGACAACTTTATTAAAAAAATATTCCGATCTTCTTGGTTCTTTCGGTAAAGTCACGTAGAATGGAAATAATAAAATAATAAAAATAAAACATAATAAAATAATTCTCACGACGTTTCGGCCACAACGCAAGCAGCCGTCCTCAGGTGAAGAACAGGTCTGTCGGGGAGACCAGTCGGGGAGACCTGTTCATCACCTGAGGACGGCTGCTTGCGTTGTGTCCGAAACGTCGTGAGAATTATTTTATTGTTTTATTTTTATTATTTTATTATTTCCATTTTACGTGACTTTACCGAAAGAACCAAGAAGATGAATCCCTGCAGTCACGAAAGCTTTAAATCGAAATATTCCGATGTTGATGTATACTTCAAGAGCAACAGTTACAGCCTCGCATTGAGGTGGAGCCAGATGATTGCATCGGGTGTGGCAGAGCGGTGCATCGCTGCTGTGACGATGCCTCCTCTTTATTCGTATTTGTGAATCGGGCACTGAGTTGTTACACGTCCCATGGTTCTGTTCGGTGTGTATGTATGTTGAACTTCTTTCGCACCGTGCGTAGTCAAGCGTGCTAATCGGAGGTTCTGTCTGGTGGCCACAGTCTCCGCACACTGCCCGGAGACTTTTCAATTCTCCATTCGTGCATCATAACCGCATCATCTGCTGCAGCTGCTAGCATGGTTTGTGTGCTAATCCGGTGCAGGCGTCGTGGCTTCACCACCGTGGCTTGCCTTTTACGTATCTCGAGGTGCAGTTTCTCTACGGGCATTCATCTCTTTAAGTATATTTGCGCCTCTGTATATGAGACTCTATGCATCACCGTGTTTGAGGTGCGTAGCCACAAGTCGCGATGTGGCTGAACAAATGCACTTGCAGTACGCGTGTAGAGACAGCAGGTGGCGGGAGATCATTTAGAGACCCAACCGATTGCCTTTGCTTTAAAAGCAATGCCATCCCAGCCATAATCACCATCACGACATCCACGCTCATTTGTTATGGAGCTGCTGCTGCTGCTACTTGGTGTGAGATCCTCACAGTTTTAGGACAGCAGAACGGAGTTGTTCATCTGTAGCTCCCGCGGTGGTCTTGAACAGTCTCTGCCAACTAAAGTCCGCTCAGCCGTGACAATCGGTGCTCTTGAGATCAAACCAAAAACGTGTTAATCTTCTGTTTAGTTGAACTTAGTGTCACGTTCCCAGTGCCATCCACGCTTCCGTGTCAGTTATATATATATTATTTTGTCTGAGTATGGCGCATTAACACATTCCTGCGGAGAGAGCTGGTATGAACGTTGGGTTGCTCGGTCAATGGCCAGAGTCAACGGCGGCGTGGTGTATTCCGCAAATATGCCCGACTGTGAGGGCGGGCACAAGCCGGCGTGAGTAGGTTAAACGTTGAGTTTTATAAGGGCACCACGGGGTGACCAGCCCCTCCCCACCCAGCCCCACCCCTCCCACCCCCACCCTCCCCTCCCAGCCCCCACCCAGCCCCACCCCCCACCCAGCATCTCCCTCCCCACCCAGCCCCTCCCTGCACGACGGACGGACACAATAATCCCATGTGGGCCGGTGTAACCAGGAGGTTCCTACCAGTATAAATCTTTCGATTGGATTACGAAGCATTGACAGCATCGAAGAGACGACGAGGACGATGCTTTCTGCTGCTGCTACTGCGTTGGCATTGGTGCACAAGCACAGCCAACAGAGTTAGGCAGCACATTCATCAGTGACAACACCGTGTGCTTTCTGCTGCGTGGCCTTAAAGCGAAAACATATTTAAGAGGTAACGTTTCGGGCAAACGGCACTTCTTCATCGCACGCGAAATAATAATTAATACAGTTATGGAACTGGCGGTGGATTAAAAAACGTATGCGAGTTGGAGACACCCTGTTGAGTGTTAAGAAACATTCAGTTAAGTGGGCACGGGTAGGGCGCTAGAAGTTATGATGATGATGATGAAGAAGCTTGACCCAATTTATCATTCGGCCTTAAGATTTGCATTGAACTGCCCATATAGGAACCACCACTGCGATCTCTACATTGGGTCAAACTTACCATCACTTAATGATCGACGGCTTGTACATCAGATTTTATTTATTCACGATGTACTTACAACAAAATCAGCAGACTACCTGCTGGATCTCCTCACTGTTTCGAAGAACAAATGTAACCTAAGGTCCTCGCTTATTTATCAGCTTCACATTCCTTTTTGCCGTACAAATACTGGAGGACGGGCCTTTGCTGTTGATGCCTCAAGGGTCTGGAATTATATCGCCAATAAACTGAAACTTGGATCACGTCCTGTGAGATCTGCACTCAAAACTGCTCTTGATGAGCTGTACAGCTCCCAATGCAACTGCGATGCTGAGTGGCCTGAAATAAAATGCATCGCTCCGGATGTCCGCTGCAAAGTATGATTTTTAAGTTTTCGATGATCGTGTGCTGAGCTATAAAGGTGCATTGATATAGTACGATACTACTGCTGATATTTGTGCTGTTATGGAGAAACTCATGCTCGTGGCTATGGCTACAACGTTTTTTTGTAAACATGTTATGTGTATCGTTGATTGTAAAATTGTAATCACAGTTGCTATGATCACTGTTGTTAAATTGTTTTTATAGTTTTATGTTGATGATTTCAGAAACGTTATGGTTAAGCCATGTTTGTTTGTTGAAGTACTGAGTTAGCCTCATAATATTGATCTGTATTGTCTTTGGGTTGTTATGTTTTTTAACTTAAATTCCATTGTGATTTTTGCATACAGCCGTGTTATACTTTTTTTATGGAAGATTTTGCTGGTTTCTCCTGGATGTTGCTGTTGCGTGTCGTCATTTTAAGATGTTTTGTGTTCATGTTTTTGTTTGTTGCACCCGAGTCAAGAGCCACATGGCTCACAGGGCTATACCTAATAAATAAACTTGAAACTTGAAATAATTTACTTACGTATCCAGGAGAGCCGCGCTGAGTCGTAGCACTCTCGGGAGGAAACCGGTGGACTCGGAGAAAACCGACACGCGCGAGGGGGCAACACTGAACCCCCGTACAGATGGAAAGAGATGTCGATTACATTTCGATTTAAAGCTTTCGTGACTGCAGGGATTCATCT